AAAAAGGGATTACAATTAAAAAGTCAGAGCTTCATCATTTCTTGTAACATCAAACAACAATCTAGAATCTCTTCAAATCCAATTTAAATAACAATTATTTAGGAAGAAAACAAAAAGGGGTAAAAAAGGATCATTCATGCTAAAGCCATCATCTCCTTGAAACAAAATTATACGGTCCTTAGTTACTCGTATCCTTAGGCCCAAGACCTGTGTCCTTTAGAATATGACTCATGTATGAGAGAAGTGTGTGAGATGGTTAGCGGTGTAGGCGTACTCTGTTGCTCGTTGGACTGTCCTTGCCACGACTGTTCCACTTGAGGTCTGGAGTTAAACTGCCTGTTAGAATCATCCTCTTGTCGTCCATTGCCACTTTCTTGTCGTCCATTGCCACTTTCTTGTCTTCCATTGCCACTTTCTTGTCTTCCATTGCCACTTTCTTGCCTTCCATTACCATTTTCTTGTCTTTCTGGAACAGCAATGTATGGTGTTCCTTCGTTGTTTACCACTGCGTTAAATCCGTTGATGTCATCAGCTCTGTATTCTACAGTCCTGGTGACCCCATCAGGTTGTAATAAGGAGTACTGTCCAAGAACAGCGCCTCCAATCCTGATCTCATGCTGTCTTTTGTAGTCTCCAGTGTGTGGGTCATTGACTTGGTATCCGAAGTTGTAGTTAGGAGCTGGTTCCTCGTATTGTATAGGCACGTAGAGAGGTATCGGCGCTTGGTGTAATACCATACAAGTAGCTGATGCAATAAATCCGAATAGGAATACTATCTTTGCAACCATCTTGATACTTGAATGTTTCTCGGAGTTAATGCTTTGTGAGCTGTTTGAAGTGTGATAGTCTTCTAGTGTTGTCGCCAATTTATATATCGAATTGGATGAAAACAATCCGATATTTCGCAACATGTATTAAATGTCGATATGAATTAGAGCGTTAAACTGACAAATTGTTCAATAGCCGAGGGTGTCGGATTCGCTTGCGGATTGACTCGATGACAGATACGATTTGAATACGTTTCAATCAGTTCGAGGTTAACCATCAAGGTACGGAATACGGATTATGTTCTACGGAAATACTTATAAATGTAATTTCAATAAACTATCGCACAACTGCTGTGCGATTACCAATTGTTTCGCAGCCCATTTAAATGTTAGTTACATAACTAAAAACCGAGTAGTGTGCGGACCTTCATATAAGCTTACAGGAATCAAAACGCGACAAGACAGTTGTGCGATTGTTTAGTCTAAGGTTACACTGGTTAGAATGCTCTTAGAAGTAGGTTCAGCGGCAACATTTTGAATTAAAGTTAATACTTGATCAAAAATATATAGAATTCTCGTATTAAATAATGAGAAAACATAAATGCTTTTGTCGTGGCGACTTTAGTGCTGTAAGGATGGGAAGAAAGGTAAACGATAAGCACATATCGATATCGACACATCGGACCGAGCACATGCTATTGCCCACTCGGTGAGATAATGTGTCGTGTCGTTATTTTTACTTCACCGATAAACAACGAGACGTTCCCTCTAGAGTATATATAGATATATCGATAGCGATGTCGTTTGTCTATTGTTGATATAAAACGTTACTTTCTTATTTAAAACCAGTGTCCCTTTGTTTTTCAACTTTCATGAACTGCTATCTACTAATTAACGACTCCGAGTGGGTTACATATCACGCACTGCAGTACTATCGATGTTTTATGAATCAAGGCACATAACCTCTCGGGAGTCGATTAAGGCAAGCCATACGATCTAACGAGCTCCGCCGGGATCCTGTTACCATTGTTAACTAGTCTGTATTTATTTAATAGAATAATTGTTAGGCAGCTTTATTACAGTAGTCTTTTCTATGATTTGTATTTTTCTATGTATATTGGTAACGTAGTAGTGGGACGTTTAAAATAAAAACTTACACTCCAAAAACTACATATATTTTATTATATATAACATATGTATATTATATAATATTAAATTTTACGCGAACATAGCTGCAAGCAACAGTCAGTATAAATTCTATGCTAAACTTTTACGAATAATATCAATAAATGCAAAACAATTAAACTAATGGTAAATTTCATTACATCATTCTGTGTCGTATAGCTATATGCATCTTTCAGATGTCTCCATCCATAGTGCAGTCATGACACCCATGGGAAATGGGAGGACGACTACGTCCCTCGCACGACATTATCATTAAATAAGAAAAGATAAAATGATCCCTTCACCATCAATGCACTAGAAAAATTCCTTTATTTACTTAATGCTTGAAATTAGTACCAAAAATATTAAGGTTCTTTACGATAGCAGTTAAGAATACTAATACAAATATTTCGGACCACTTTCAACATTAATAGTAAATACAATTCTATTCTAATGCGATTAAAGTTGAAATTTGAATGCAGGATGTTGCAAAGGTTTGAAAGATACGTTACAAGTATCATCGGAAACTGTTCCTTTTGTCATTGACAATAAGCTGCAAAGTTCTTTGTAGTGTAGTGGTCGCGAGAGAAGAGGGCGCATTTTGAAATGCTTTGTTTGACAATTAAAGTAAGAGCTCTCTCCCTGCGCCATTATGACCGCCTGGTACTTTGGGAGGGTTCACGTTACCAATGGGACGTACAAAACCATACGAAACGTTCACGTATATTTGATAATGGAAGATACATTGACCTCGATACTAATATTTTGTTTCTATTTAATGTTCGTCATTTTAACGTTGCTGTGTTGGAAATTCAAACTAATAATAGAGATGGGACAATACATATCGATAAAAAACCTACCACATAAGTCGTAATTGCAGACGAAAATATCGATAAGTGCAAGGAACATCGACAACCTTATTTCATTTTTTGTAATATAAAAATTAGTTCTTAGGAGTAAGGTTTCAGCAGTGGAATGCATGATATACATAAATTAATGGTCATAAAGCGCCACGTCTGGATTGCGGTCTGATGCAGTCAGTCTGCGGTGTGACATTCGATGTAACATTACATCACCACAAACGTATCGACTATTAATACGATTTATTGTTTTAAAATCGCTTAATTAATATTAGATGTTGCTCACGACTTCGTCTGGGTCACAAAAAAAAAAACATGACCTATGTTACTAAGTTATAACGTAGCTTTTTAAAGTTGTAAGAATTTTTGAAATCGGTCCAGTAGTTTTAGAGTTAATTTAATTCATATAAAAATTCAAAAATACAAATTTTGACTCTTTACAATATTAGTTTACCGTTAGAGAATTGTTAAAATAGACAAAAAAATATACAGTCTTATTAGTAAATGCTTCTTTCTTCAGTTTCTGTCTGTTGCCAGTTCGACAGCCTTGTAGGCAACGCGATAAATTTATAATTATAATGAAATATGAATTCATCGCGTTACCAGCGAGGACGTCCAACTTATCTTCTTTCTTGAGGTGTCTTCTGTTAATCTAAAAATCTATACTCACAGTATACAATCACATCTTACTAATGTT